CATCAGAGCGAATATTTTCTTATCAATTCTTGTCAAAAACGCTCATTTCCATCATTATTCTTGATTTAACTTGTATTTGGGTGAAGGTAGGAATCCCAGAATTTAAGAAAACGTGCACAGAATACCCTTCTCCCCAATAAATAATTTTAAAAAACTGACTCCAGGAATCCCGCACAAACATGCCACCTTACACTTTCGCGCCAAACGTTTTGCCGTAATTTTGGACATGGGTGGATTTTACTTAATACTAGCGCTTCCTACAAGCGATTTTCGCTACTAAGCAGTAGTAAGTGATCTGTCGTAATTCGATATATCATCTCGATTCTCGAAAATAATTTGATCATTCAGTCGATAGCAACGTTGCCAATCCGTACATGAGCTGCGACTTCTCCTAATGATTTTATACACGTTATTGTGGTTTTGGCAACATGGTTATGTTTCCATGACATCGCGATGCTCTTGCGTTTTGCGTGGACTCACAGTTGCTCACAGTGGGTTCTTGTTATTGGTTAGTAGTGGTATTGGCTGGTCTCAGGAGGTACGGAAAAGTTTGGTTTGTTGGTCGAATCGGTTGTGTGTTGCACCGTCTCGTTATCTGATGTACCTTTGTTATTGTATTGCGAAGAACATCGTAAAAACGTCGTGACAAAAATTTGCGGAAAAACATCATCAGATGTTTTCCATTGGGTTTTCATCGCACAGTGCTTTAAGGAACAGCTGAAATTCCGTATTGGTTTATACTCAGGTTTAATCTCCGTGAAGTACGAAATTCAACAGCAACATGATAGATAAAATTCTTAAATTCCTGTCATACTGGTACCTCCAGTATGAATTAGTGACTTGTTTATATGTATTTGAGCCCTGGGAGAAGAAACTTTTAAGTATCCTTTTAAACGTATGAGTTTGGTAAGATGACGTGTCTTGAGGCTTCTTTTAATTTGCTACGAAGTTGTTGAAATGTACGTTGTGTCATCAGAAATAGTCAAAAGTATGTAATTATTTTATTCTTGAACTCTATAAATCTTTAGGGTAGTAATTTTGTTTTGGCGCATTATTATAACCCAGTATAATTTGGAAGTACATTTGTGGATACAAAAGGGGGATATGTATTGATCAGAATTATCTAGTTTTGTTTTTAAATAGCCCGTCCTATGTCTGAGTAAACAGAACAATTCTTTGCAAAAGGTGCAGAAATAACAGCAAATAATGTAAATAAATATTAAGGGTAAGTACAGACGACTCTCTTTTCAAGATGACAGCATATTCCCTATTGTAGATAAAAGAATGCATTCCAATATTTTTGTGCTATGTAGAAGTTTCCAGAAGATATTTATAATGCCATATGCATAAGTATTTTTAATTGTGTTTTGCCACCCTCAAGGTAAGATCATTTCGTTTCTGGAAAAACTTTATACAAGTCTGGTATGTTGTATGATGAATCACCAGATAATTTAATCATTAAAATATATGTATTATTGTTGTATTTATTTCACAATATATAGAATGCTGTCAAAAACTGATCGTGATATTGAATTGAATCTTCCTTAAGTCTAAAACTTGAAGAAAGACGTAATTAACATTACAAAACTGGAGAAATTATTGATATTATTATTATCATTAGTATTTATTCATGAAATGTTCTTTTTACTATCATAATGGACAAAAATATTAAATTCCATCATCATTTGTAGTTAAACATGTACTTCGGTTTAAGGAAATTGGAATAATTTTACTATTATTGGAGCATTTTTATTTAATCAAGGTTGATAATTTCCTTAATAAAGTGTTACAGATGGCATTATTGTTATCATAATTGCTCTGGTTTCTTACTCTACGTATGCCTATCTTCCACACTATACAGTTTCACTGCTGAGTCATTTCAATTTACTAAATCCTGAAACTGGAGACTATCAGCATCAAATAGCTCATGTGCATGGTTCCTCACCAAGAGCATATTGAATGTTTTGTTGACTTTAACTAGTATTGTACAGAAAACATAGTTATTGTTCAATTTGTATGATGTTTGTAAAGGTGATAATGGTGTATAAATGTATATATTTTTGTAGTTCTTTATGGATAACTTGCTAAACATCTTCCAGAGTTAAAAACTACCTTGTTCACTGGTTTTCTCTTGAGCACTTAATAAAGATGAATTGTAGTGATTGCTTCAAATTTTGTGAAGGCAGGATCTGTTACTTTTTAGCAGTAGACAATACTAAATATGTGCAAAAGAAATAACCAAGGAGAAAGGAGTGAAAGTGTACTACCAGTTAGGAAGGGAGTGCTGCTGTATTGAGGGCAACACACTTTCATTTTTGTTTAAAGCTCTAATGTCTTTGTACAGGCAATAATTTATTTCAGCAAGATCACACTCGCATACTGAATATTACCTTTAAATTTACTGTAGACACCCTCCAAACTGAAATTTCAGTACCAAACTGGACTTTTATAAGCATGTATTATTTGGGCCAAGTATTAATTATTATTTCTTAGGGATTCTGGTCTGTTGAGAATATTTGCTATTATTGTGGAGCAATTAAGTCCAAATCATCATTCCTAATAAATGCCACACCTTTACTGGTTAATTTGTGAATTTATAAATAATGTAGAGGTTTATGAAAAGTTTCTTTTAGGATATGGTCCATTACAAATTGTGTAACTTGTGAAAAATATGGTTTGGAGTTTAGAATTCAGAACTTTAGTTCAATGTGAAACTGTATGTTAACTATATTTAGAATGAACACACATTAAATGGCTTTATGTCACCATAAAATATTTGAATATTATAAAGGTTATATTATTGTTAAAAAGAAAATTACTTTTTCCTAGAGATATCCTATGGCAGAGTTTCATGATAAATAAATATTTGTATTTAAAATATGTTCAGGGTCGATTTAGATCTCTCTTTCTTTTTCCTTTTAACTATTTTCTATTGCTAATATTATTTAACCCTGTAATACAGTTTTAATGAGTTCTAATTTTTGCATTTGCAGTTCAAAACAGTCTTGGTTGTCAGTTTCAATCTGGTCATCTATGAACTTAACATGGTCTTGCTGTTTTTTGTTTTGTAAAATATCATCATGTATCAATAATTAATGTAATACAGAAACTACACATATTAATAATTCTTGTTCTTTATAAATTTTGCTATATCCCCGTAGTTATTCATGCAATGGAAAATCAGAATGTACATTATATTGTGCCTGAAGAATGGTTTGTATGGTATTTCTAATCTTACTCTGGTGCTCGGAATATTTCAAGCACAGGAAGTGTCTTTATTATTTGCGGTTGTAAGCTTGAATGCATTATTTATATCGACTTTAATTAACACCATAAAAAAGAAGACCATTTGTATAAAATTGCAGAGACCACATTGACTCAGGTAATGTAATACAATAACAAGATTTTGAAACCTGTTATCCAGTTGAAGATTTTGAAGATGCAAACCTGTTATCCAGTAAAAACACTTTCAGTAGATACAAAGAATTAAGTGGTCTGATTTGCAAAGCCATACATTTCTTATACTGTTTGTTCTGCTCCCATTCTCAAACGCTGTTGCCTGCAGTGGCTTAAAGTGAAATTAAGTTTCACATTATTCTATTTGTTGGGGAAAAAATTATGTTATTAAATTATGGATTATTGGTTAAACAGGGAATGAAGTATTGAAAAGTGGTATAGGGTTCACAAAATTGTCATTCTTATGAAACCCATTGTAACAGGTTATAGCAGTTCTCAAATATTTTTAAAATGTACCCCCTCAATGAATCTTGAACAATGAAGTTTTCCTGATTGAGTTTTAAAAATGCCTGACCATATATTTTAGGCAGTTTTTTAATTTGTTTATAAAATACTTTATGTGTATATGTGGTAAACTATTACAAAAATTGTGAAGAAAGCACTAAGTTTTCATAAAAGTTAATTCTTCCCACTTATGTTCACATACTCCCTTTCATGAAGGTACACATACCATAGTTAGGGAACACCTGATTTACAGACATGTATTATTGATATCTTGAACATTCTATTGATAACATTTAATTGTAATATAACGGTTACAGTGCAAACTAATGGTACTAAGAATAATGAGGGGTTTCAATGACACTGAATTTGAGATTGATTATGTGTTTTTGTGTGACGATTCAAAATAGAAAGATGGGCAAAAAAACAAAAAGAAATTGAAATTGGTCTTGCTCATCCTTGAACTTGTAGATGCAACAAATAGGTCAAACACGTACTTTAAACATGATATATATATATATATATATATATTATATATATATATATATATATATATATATATATATATATATATATATATATATATATATATATATATATATATAATATATATATATATATATATATATATATATTATATATATATATATTATATATATTAATATAATATATATATGTGTTGAAAGTTGGTGGTATTGAATTAATTTTTATGCTTTATTCTTTACAAGTGTCATATAACTATTTACTTACATAAAAATATATGTTTTTTGGACACAGCTTTGCTGAAGACTTAGGGCACAACATTTAAAACTACTTCCTGTTGATAATTTCATAAAAACAAAGTGAAGGGCCTTTTAAACAAATATTTGTGAAATGCGTGTGTTGAACTTCTTCCACCACATGTTGAATGGCAGTGAAATCAGCACAAACTAAGGCTACACATGACTCCATTCACAGAAGATTAAGAGGCAAATATGATACTCAGGGTAAAAATTTCAACTCTTGACCTTTCAGTAAGAATTGTAAAATCTGTACAGTTACCAACTACCTTAACCATCTGACCCTGAGTGTTAAAAGTTAAGGTTTGGTTATTTTCTGATTTTATTTCCAAAGAAACATTGCTCATTTCAAAGGTAATTTACTAATGCAAGTCATTTTTGCAAATTCAGTAATATACAGTCAGATTTGTCATATGGTGTAATATTTAATAAGGGGAAATAAAGTAGTTTTGTTTACACTTTCATTGTAAACATTTGTTTTATTTATGTTTTCTGAAAAAAATGTCAAAATTTAATTTGAATTATGACATTGCCTGTTTTTGAATCTCTTTTAGCAATAAAAACTCAAAATTCTCTACAAAATGTGCTTTTTTGTGCAAAGAAAGATATTATTAGTATATTTGTCAATATGTAAGCATTCTAGTCTGACATAAAAAAACCTTTTTCTTAAACCTGCAAATGAGATTAGCTAGATGTTTGTTTGTATGTAAGGTTTTGGGAACCAAGTGTATACTGGACATTTTACCACAAGTAGGGCAGGTAGTGGAAGTTTGAATTTTCTCAGGGTGAAATAAGCTGGCGTACACTGAGGAAAAAGCCAGAAAGGCTGGCCGAAAGTTATAGTAGGTTCCAATTGCAGATAAAACATATATTCAAGAGGTTTTGGAGTTTGCTGAATCCGAATCTGAAGTCAAATTTATACAATTTTTAAAATTGGAAAAAGACCATAACACTTTAAAAAAATTATTTCCGGTTATAATTTATTTGACATAAACAAAATAGTATTTGTCTTATTAATCTTCTTAGGATCGGTATTCATTGCTTTGATTAGCGATTCCGGGCACGTCAACTATCAGGGTTATTAGTCCCGTAAGTGTAGTTCATGTGTTTTGCTTGGGAGCTGGTGGTGGTGATCTTTCCCCCTCTGTATGGCGAGATCCGGCGCTGATCTACCGGCGGCTAGCGGGGTTTTCCACAACCAGGTATGTCCTACTAGCGAGGCACCGCCCCAGCCGGGACAAAAGGCTGTAAGCTCCCAACCGGTCTTCCGGCATGTGTGGAAGTATAATGTAAGAGGGTGAGGATAAGACGAGGAAGGTGAGATCGCGCGTGGTCCGTGGCCCGTTTGTTAGGGTACTGCTACGGAATTTATTTATTTATACTGTCACTTATATCTTTAAATCATTTGTTTTAAAACATATTAATTAGGCATTTTAATGTTTTAGCATAAGACTAAATATTTCAGCAAATGTAAAAAGAAATCAATCTTACAATGTATGAAGAACAATATTTAAGATAGATATGTTTGTAATATTTGCCATACCCTTCGTAAGTATTTATAATATTCGTAATTAGTTTCATTTAATATTCACTGAATATGACTGCAACAGACAGTGGCGCTGACGGACGTCAAAACCTTAGTTATCTGATGTTTTACGAAATAAAATATTGAATTCCTTTTCAAAAATCAAATGTTTGAAAAAATAGATTATTAGAAATTTTTACAGAGACTGCGTGGATTTTATACGCATGTTTTCCGAAAAAGATCTTATGTGATATTATTTGTTGGGTGAAGGTTCGTAAAACGCGGAGGGTGCCGGTGGAGTATTGAGAGGTGGTCGGGCGAGCGAAGGTCAGTGGAGAAGGGAGGGCGGGGGTGGGTTAGGGATGTACACTTAGTGCTAATTTTAGCAGAGCTGAAGAGAGTTGAGGGATTTGTTGGTTAAGACAAGTCATGTTCTGTTTTTTGAGAACGTTGTGTATATGTAGGGCTTCTAATTTTATTCTGTTCCAGTACCTGTTTTCAGTTTCTATAATTCGTAAATTTGTGTTTATCAAATGTGTGTTTGTTTAAATTTAGGTGATCCGCAAAGTGTGATAGTGTTGTTTTTCCATGCTCGTTCGTGTTCTTTGATTATCTGTGTGAATTTACGGCCTGTTTGTCCTATTGCATTGCAATTGTTGCAAGTGAGAGCATAGACTCCGCATAAGGATGTAGGTGGGATTGGGTTTTTAGTGTTGGATAGTGTTTTATATAATGTATGAGTGTTGTTGAAATAAGTTTTTAGACCAAATTTATTGAGGGTGGCGGCGATTTTAAAAGAAAAGGGTCCTACATAAGGGATTGTGAGGTACGTGACTGTAGTGCTTCTGTCAATTGGTGTGCAGGTAGTGTGTTTGCGGATATTGAGTGGTTTTTTTTGCTTTTTTATTATTAATTTCTCAATCAAGTTGCAGTCGTATCATTCTGACTGTATGTTTTATGGCGTTTGTTTCCTTTTTTGTGTTTTCTGAAGACATGGGTATGGAAATTAATCGATGCACCATCGCATGGAAGGCAGCGTGTTAGTGTGTTGTGTGTGTGTGTGTGTGGGGGGGTGTTGTGCAGTGTTCTGTATGATTGTGTCCGTGTGTGTGGGTTTTCTGAATACGTTAAATTTATGATGGTCCTGTGCTAGCGTGATGGCGAGATTAAGGAAGTTTAAATATTTTTGTTCATTTTCTATCTCTGTGGTGAATTTTATGTTGGGGTGTAGGGAGTTGATTTACTGTGTAAAAAACTTTTAAATGGTATATGACAAAAGTACGTATGAAATATAATAATATATTTAAGGCGTTGTTTTGTCTTACGTTCTTATTTTCGCAGAAAGCTTTTTCGGTCGCATTGCGGCCATCTTCAGTGTTACAAAAAAATAATAAATGTATCTAAATTACAAATAAAATATAATTATTACCGAATATTATGAATAAAATTAGAATTTAATCAAATTAGAAAAGTGAAATATAAAATGTGAGAATGGGAACATAATTTTGAATTAAGATTGCTAGAAATAACAAATGTACTCTTCTCACGTGAAGTAAAGTAAAAATAGTCTAGATAAATAAACATAATTAAGATGAGCAAACTGACATACAGGGTTTGAGGCGGCTGGGGACCCCGATTCAGACAAGACAGCGACGATCAAGGGGATTGTATGCTATTTTTTTTTTTTTTTTTTTTTAAAAAAAGCTCTCAATGGAAGCGCAGTTTTTCTAAGAAATTGCCATTAGGGGGAAAGGTCCGGTTGGGTGGCGGAAAAGAGAGGCGGGCAGAGGGGGTTAATGTGCGTGGGAAGTGATCAGTTTTAGGAGAGGTGAGAGAACTTGAGACGGGACACTCATTAGTGAAGGTCAAATGAGAAACAGAGGGGAGCGAGAAGCGGAGGGACTGTGAGGGGATGGAAGGGGTGTAGTACAAAGAGAAAATATTATTTCTCTTGGCGTGGAAGCTACAATGTTTAACATTCTTGAAAGGTTTTTCTTAGTTTGCAAAATAAAGTTGTAAATACCGTAGTACCTTTGTTCGAATTACTTGGGTAAGCAGTGCTTACTTTGCGTCTATGGAATACACGACCCTACCTAAATTGAACCCCGCGAAATCCTCCATTTGCGTGGCAAGGGAGCGCGGAATTCCAAGCATTGCCATTCACTTCAGAAAATAAGAGGTACATACTTATAATTTGCTGTACCCACCCAGAAATTGCGCTTTATAGACTATATCCGAAACGGAGGTTCAAAGGATGCGGAATTTTAGTAATAAAATGTACTCGTGGTGTAAATTTTAAGAACTCCAAAAATTCTTTCCTTCATCCTGTTCTCGTCCATAACCTCAGTCACCTTTCTTTGTCACAAGTTCTTGGTTTGCCATTTTCACCCCTTATTTGTACCATTCTACTGAATTGCTCTACTGAATTTCTCGAAATACCTAGTTCGAAAGTTAACCGTTTTTGAAAAAACTACAACTTTAGTTTCAAACAGCTATAGTTTAAGGCAGTGTTACTCAAATTGTGAGGTGTGCCTCCCCAGAGAAGAGCGATATGTTAGTAATCATTAAATTAAATAATGTTCTAATGCTTAATAAGGCTCTAATTATTTCTACATGAATAAATTACTATCCGATTATATATGTGCCTTCATTAGTTTTAACGAATGGGGGAGAAAGCAATTGTATAATATGTGATCGCATTGCTTCCATGAAACCAACATTGTCCACTATCAGTTACTTTAAACGAGCTCTGGCAGTTGACACAATAGAATGCGACCCACTTTGTTGGGGGCGTGATTCATTCCTGCAACACTGTCTGAATTTTGGTGGTCTGTAAAGAGGCAGCATCGAAAATCAAGTAAGGCCTTGCGGGTTCTGCATCCTTTTTTACACTTTTTACGCATGTGAAAAATAATTTTCAATCATTAAATCTCCAGAACGAGATGCTTACTAACATTTCTAAATTAGAGTCGAGATTCGATGAACTGTGACTCCAAACAAATCCATCCAACTCATTGACTTTTCTGAACTCTCAATATATTCGTTTTTAATAGTGTTCTTTACTTTGCCAAACATTAATTACAATAGTGAACAGTGCAAGTCACTTGCTTTATTTCGTACACTGTTAGAATGTAATAACAAAATGTACATAATGGCCTTACTTTCAGGGCAGAATATTTAGTTATTTTTATTAACAATTTAACTGTAATGAAGGACAGCGTATGCACAATTTGTTACCTTAGTGGGTCAAGCCAGCAAAGTTTGAAAACCTTTTGTTTAAGGGATTCCCGTGGTTGTGTTCCTCTCCAACTCTATAGATACTGTTTTGTTGGACATGCTTGATTTTTAGCAAAAAAGAAACATTTGGAACAGAAAAAGATTTTCCGTTCTGTTGAATACAACTCGACTGTTGCATAAATACTCAAATTTGACAGAAAATATAAAATGAATTAATGGAGTGTATTTCAAACAATATCAAAGATTTTGTACAAAGAGAAATGGCGACGTCTGATTATTTGCAGGTAGATGATACGACAGATACATAGGATACACGGATGTCTAGGCGTTTCTTTGAGGAATATTGTAATTCAGAATAAACTACACTGCAGTTTTAAAGGAACTGATGAATGAAAACGTCACAGACAAATCCGCAGCCTTGAAGGACCGATTTAGTGTACAACAAATCAGCTATTTGAATTAAGGTGAGCATGATGCTTATCGATTATCAAGATAAGCATTTTTTTTAAATTCATAGTTCCCTACTAGCTCTTTACATTACTTCACAGCCACTAGCCACCACTGACATGCGCTATGAAGTTTCCGCCACGATGAAATTTCTATGAACGTCTTGCAGGCCACTATCCGTAAGCTGAAGAACTGTGAATGCCCAGGATCACATGGACTTCACAACATTTGGTTCAAGAAATATACTTACCTTTGTTGGAAAATTCTAACTCTTATAACTCACTATCTGATATATTCATCTAATACCTACGCCACTACCGACCAATGCATTATAAATGACCAGAACTGGTTGTTTACATTTTAAAATCGATCAACATTGCACACAAAATTACATCCTCTCGAATATTCAAAAATTTTGCTTCAAGGGCTCATTGGGATGTACAGAGCAGCTTGTAAGTGACAGTGTGATAATGTCGCAGGCATGCAACTAAAAGCTGACACGTACACATGCTTTATTGACCAAAAATAGCTGTCGACATGGTTCCTTATGACTAGCTCATTGCCCGGCAAAGGTAACTCAGGGCATCAACTGATGTCACTGCATTGCCTCTGACCCTGCGCTCCTCGAGTTCGAGTGCCGACGGCGGCAGGATTTTCGACACTGGCTTAGCTTGGTCGATTTCAGTCTCTGGGGGAGAATTCTAGCGACCGGCCGCTCTGATCGGTATTTTCCGTGGTTTATCTCATCAACACCTGGCGAATGCCAGAGCAGTACCCTACCAAACGGACTACCGATCTTGTGCGATGTTTCCCTCCTATTCCTGACCCTTTCCTGCATATGCACACACATTCTCTCATGCATTACACTACCACATATATCCGGAGACCAGTCGGGAGCTAAGAGCTTGTCTCGGTCGGGGGGAATCCCCGCTGGTGGGAGACACCTGCTGAGGGAAAATCCCAGCAAGCAGGCGTGGGCCAGCGTCGGATCCCGCCAGTCAATGTGGGAAGATCACCGCCACCTCCCGCGGTAAAACATACACTACATTTATGGGACTAATGACCTTAGCACGCCTGGAATCACTAACCCATCAACTAGCTCAATGGTATTTCAAGATATCGAATTAACCGTGCAGTTATAAACGTACAAAAAACTGCTAAGAGCCATTGATGTATGAGAATACATATGGGTTCAAAAATTAACAGAATAGTTACAAAGATACGGAAGATCAAACAAGGAATATTCCAAGGTGGCAGCCTCAACCCATACTGGTTCTGTCTTGCCACACAACCACTCTCACACTTATTGAAAAGAACAAAAGCAGGATCTGAATTAAACGGCCAAGGGAAATATATGCTCAGTTATCTGGCTTACATGAAGGATCACAAATAATATCTGGACACATTACAAGGTCTGAAAAATCTAAGACATATCACTGACAGATATTCTACTGATATAGGTTTGCAATTTAGTACAGAAATTAAAACACAGAAAATTGAAAAAAAAAAATCTATTTTTACCCTTTCCCCGCCTTTAAAAGCCACTAGTGACTTTAAATACATAGGTATACTTTAAAAGTGACTGCAACAGTTCTGTAAATTGTATTTTTTATTATACATTTGTATATTGTTGTGGCACAGTAATTTTTGACCTAGGAGTCACATATTTTTAATGCTTTATAATCCTACGCTAAGGAATAAAGACAGTTATTGGGAGTTAAAAAGAAATCATCGTAGCAAAACTTTAAATGTGCCACTGTGGAAGGTAGGGAATTACACCACAGTCATTTATCAAACAGATTTCAGACGTAAATATTGAAGTTTGCAGAGTATGACGTACAAAACAGATAATTGCAACACTCATTATAATCGTTGCATTACTCGGAACCTTTTAAACGAGGTTTCCCGTTGGGTACCAAGTTTTTTTTAGGACAGGTGAGTTCTGGCAGTTCGAGATTTTTGGGAGACATGCGGGGAAAGATGGGGGAAATGACAAGGGGCAGATCGGGGGCACGTGAAGGGTAAGCTGGTGAAATGAAGTGAGACCAGGATTATGTTCTTTGGTAGTATTCTACAAAAGTAGATCTTTTTAAACTTTCTTTTACAATTTTGCACATTTAGTTCTTTTGGGTGCCTCCACTCCATAGCATGAAAAGTCAGAAACGTGCAAAACCGAGATCAATACAATATTAAATTGGAAGAAAAATAACGATATAATCTTTCACGGTAAAATTAAATTCTGTATTCTTTCTGTGCATTTTAATGTCAACGCTGAGCAATATTGGATTAGTTTCTCTCGCATAGTACTGGGCCTATAATGTTGTAACTCACAGTATGGAAGATGGACGTTTGAAGTTGGGATCAACATTTTAAAAAAAAAATTCCGTTTCAAATCAAAAATTATTTACAAAGTACAAGTTTTCGCAGATTGTGTATACTTATACAAGAATAGATATTCAGCTAAGAAAAGATAAAATTTTCTCTTGCTTGAAACAGCTACAGATGCCTTAGTTTTTATATTTTTAACTAGGGCCCAATAATAGAAACTATTTAAAAAACAACGACAGGTGTTTTGATATTTTTCGGGCGTGTTCTCGTGTTCTAGGACACAGTAAAATTAATTTTTGTAATGTTTTGTTTGAATTTGCCGGCAAAATATAAACATTTTTATACTATTATTTATATTCTTATTTTTTAATTAGAAAAGTTAATGTTAAGATGACGAAAAAATTAAAATTAAAAGAACCCATTTTTAACTGTAGAGAGGTGGAGGTGGGAGGGAAACTAAAAAGAACTTTCAAAAATCTTATGTTTATGTTAGAGTAATAGTTTGACTACTCATTCTTTTGATTTTAGGGAATATTTTATCGTCTTATCCAGGTACCCTTTCCTCGTATTTTTGACAAATTTCCATTTTTCATTCGTTTATTAGCAAACGTTATCCGCGGTCTACGGTTAGACGTCAGTAGTTTTTATACTTCGCAGGATTCCGTATTTATTTTTGTTTATCTGGACATTTCTATATTTGTGCAATGCTTAATCTCTGCATGTGTGGACTGTTGGATATGTCTCTAATGTCACTGAAGTGCAATTCCAAACGTGGCGCATCCTGCAGAGCCTGAGGTAGGAATGAAGTTCGTTTGAAAAACGTGCGACTCGACGGGCGATAAGAATCGTGGCTTAACAACCAGTCTTCTTCCCACGCCTTTGACATGTTATGAAAGCAGTTTAGTCAATAATACCACACTTTTCGACAGGTTACATAAAATGACTCGAAGGTGATTAAGCAATAATTATTTTATGATCATATAAATACCAATAGGGTGGTTACAGCTTCAATCACGAGATTGACTTAGCAGATTCCGCGGAATGACCACAGCTTTAAACCACGAAAACGCCACGCCTGTAGAGCTTCAATTGAAGGGAAAGGTGGTTCTACGGGGTCTACAAACTCGAGGACGCCTGCCGACTCGGATTTACTCGTTCAGGTTTAACACGTCTCGTAAGCAATTGCGCGGAGTCCATAGTATCTCAGCTTTATAAAACCTCGCTTCCGGGAAAACTGCTTGTATATACATTTGCACGAAGGTATTCTGATCCCATTTATTCAGGAGACGTACTATTTGCCGAGGCCAAATTGATGGTGTCCGGGTAAAGTGATAAGTCTTTTTTGTGACGGTGCAAATACGTTGCTTAGAGAATTATACGTGACAAAATCTGCAATCTTCATGACAAGTCTACTACGAAAATGTAGTGAATTTAATGTTATTGACATATTGCGTGCTTTACAATCATCGCACAATTTCATCTTACGCTTAATTTATTATTTTCTACCTACTTATGCAGTAAAGAGAGAGTATTGTAACGCTGCGGCAGAAATCGGCGCCTTTCAACAAAAACGCTTAATGTGGAGCCATGGTAAGGAAAAAGTGGATAAATCTTTTTCCAAATAGTAAACTACTTCCTCTAACACGCGTATTCAGAATCCACGTTTTGTGGGTCCCTGATACCGAAAAACTGATTGACGGTGAGATGTCTCTCTCCGTCTGTGGTCACCGCTGGCGCCTAACCGCTCGGATGCTTTTCTACAAAACTGATATTCCATGATCGATCTGAAGGAACTCGGGGCTCTGGGAGTTTGAACCGGATATTTTGATTTTTGAGGGTGCTTTACATAAAGCTTAAACACAAATTGTCTCAACAATGGGTCCACACTTTTTCATTAAACCTTTTCCTCTGATAGCGTAAAGAAACGAAAGAAGGCAGAATGACATAGGTTTCATTTCGTTAAAAATCTAAATTGTTGAAAATTCCAAAAGTTTTTGACGAGTGTCTACAACTATAATATTGAAGTTACAGATTTTTGTTACAACGAAATCTTCACAGAGAGATTTTTAAATAAGATGATGTACGATTTTTCCACAATATGGCTAGTTTTCGCGTACTTCTGCGTGAAATATCGGCAATTTTTAAACATTTTTTTTCACAAAACTGGCACTAAATTTTTTCTTTAAATATTTCTGGAGATATAGTAAAGTACGCAAAATATGGCGCACGTCTTATTTTTGTTGAACTTTCTGGATTTTTGAAAATTACAAAAGTAAGAAGCAATGCGAAAAAGTGTGTTTTAGACCACTAATTTCTGTCTAAAAATCACGATTTCTGCCCCAGCAATACAATACTATCTGTTTACTACGTATATATGTAGTAAGGCGATAGAGTGAAAGTGGATAAAGCATGTTCGTATTTGTAGTAAAGTACAATCTTTAACACGTAAACAAAAAAATTACCATCGCAAAACTGCAATATTAGAGATAGAGTGCTTTTTCTGTAAGAAAATCTGTACTTTAAAACTAGATTTTGAAATAATGTAAATGAAACTCTCTGAATGTGATAATTTCCAATACAAATGTGTCTTTTGTGGCGGGAAAGTAGAATTGTGTTAATAGGCTAGTGGTGTAGAAATGACTGGAGTAGAAATGTGACTGGCGAGTCCTCTAAAGAACCTGAGATCGAATGCCAATGCGGCGAAAAAGTTTTGACTGCTTGGAAACACTTTTGCAAGTTCATATAGTTTAATAATAATGCTTAACCATTACAAATAAATGCGAGAAAAATATGAGCTGTTGTAGCACCACTAGTTTAAAACATAACTCCTTTTACCCGAGCACATCGAAATAACCTGGAACGCGACATCATTTTAGTACTCCTCATTCTTTGTGAAGTACTCTGAATCATAATTTGTTAAGAGTGCTATGACTAGTTTGATATTGTTTTTAAGTTAAAAGTAAGTTAATATTGTTTCTTTAAACGATGGAACTTCTATAGAAAACACTCGCCAATTCATTTAAAATATATTTGGCATTTTAATAAAATAAACCAGAAAATTAGGCATAGATTGTTTTAAAATTATCCTTCTTTCCTGTTGGATCGTTATTTTGACACTATATTTTGCATGTGCTCAAATTTAAAGTGTGTGAGGGTTGTTGCAGAAACTCTGCGTGGCCATTACAGTAAAATTCCCTGCGCGACTGCTCATGGGTTAATGGAACAAACTTTCATTTTCACGAGTTAAACAAAACCGAACGCGGTTCGGGTTTACGCGCAGACGCTGAGGTTACTGCCAGCCAAAACCTCGAAGCGTGAAGGCAACTGGGAGCCCATGGAATTTGTTCGTGAAATTAGGGCGCGAGGTGGTGGCCAGACGCATTCGCGTTTACCTGAACCAGCAAAACTGTCACGTATCCCGAATGCGTACGGTTCCCAGCATTACTCGCGCAGGTTTTCTTGGGTTCCGGAATTCCTACCTTCTCTTGCTTTGCCAACACAGCTGAATAACGGATAAAAAGATAGGAACGAGCTATTTGAGCATTTGATAAAAAGAAATGTTTGCTCTCACACAATCGACCTGCATTTGCTCTGAAAATCGAAGTACAGCTGAGATGCGGCTGGAACGGCGTCAAAAGGAGCGCTCAGCCCGGGGCGGGCGACGCCTTCTTGCGGTGCGTCTTCTCGTGGTTGCGCAGGTAGCGCTTCTGCTTGAAGGCCAGGTTGCAGAGCGCGCAGAGGAAGGGCCGCTCGTCCGAGTGCGTGAGCCGGTGACGCAGCATCTCGCCGCGCACGCCGAACGCCTTGCCGCACTTGTCGCACGCGTGCGGCTTCTCGCCCGTGTGCGTCGTCACGTGGTTCACCAGCTCCTGGCGGCGGCGGAAGCGCTTGTGGCAGTGCGTGCACGCGTGCGGGAACGAGTCGCTGTGGATCTTGGCGTGGATGTAGAGCGACGCCTTCGACTTGAAGGTGTTGCCGCAGCGGTGGCACACGAAGGGCCGCTCGCCCGTGTGGATGCGGCGGTGGTCGTCGCGCGTGGCCTTGGACGCGAAGCAGCGCCCGCACAGGTCGCACGCGAAGCTCTTGACGCGCGCGTGCACGTCGCGCAGGTGGCGGCGAAGCCCGCCGCCCGCGCGGAACTGCTTGCCGCACACGTCGCACGTGAAGGGCCGCTCGCCCGTGTGGATGCGCGCGTGCCGCACGCACGACGTCTTGCTGGAGAAGGGCCGGCCGCAGTGCTCGCACGCGTACACGCGCGCCCCCGCCCCCGCCGCCGCCCCCGCGCGCTTGCCCTGCTCCCCCTCCCCGCACGCCCTCTTCGACGACTTGCCCGTGGGCTTCGCGCTCTTCCGCGGGGCCGCCGCCGCCTCCTCCTCCTCCTCTTCCTCCTCCTCGTCGTCGTCTCCGCTCTCCACGAAAACAGACAGACGCTCGCTTCCAGCCACCCCCGAGGTGTGTGTTCTCAAGTGAATCACTAGTTCACTCTTGCCCTTGAAACCCTTCCCGCACTGCTCGCAATGATGCGCGGGTGCCTCGGCCACAGCGTTCAATTCCTCCTTACTGCAATCTAATTCGTCGTCAACGCGCACACACTCTTGTCCGACCTCCGCCGAATACAACACAACACTCTCACGTTCCGGTTCTTCTGCACCCTCCTTGCGTTCGTTCCAATCCGAGAGACAGAGTTCAAGAGGCTTGCGAATGTACTCCGATGGCAGGGACAACCTGAAACAAACAGTGGAAACTTTTTAGGAAAGGTTCTTTATTCAAGTCTACTTCATTTCTAGCCAATAAATTACCTATTGCCATACACTACCACAAAACGCACATTTCTGAAAAACGTAAAACGAACTACGTCGAAATATTTCTTCAATTACTTCTAAAATGTTTTCAAAATTATTTTAAATTATATTTCTGATCATTAATATTTTTTATATAATTCTTAATTAATACAATGTTCCAAAACGGATATAAAAATATTTAGAATACAATCGTAGTACCAGACAAATACTCTAAATATGTTTTCGATTTTTTTAACTCATTTAAATAAAAACTATAGTGAAGTGCCTTCTCGTCACAAATGAGCAGAAATATCCATTATTCTACAGAATAGAGCACACACTGTGAATTTTGCATATTTTGTATAATGCTCTGTGGAGGATCCTCAGGAGAAACATGCTTCACCCATAAACTGACATTTTTTTGTAATTGTACTCAATTTATTACGGTGTAAGAGAAACAGTAGGCTTGGTTGGCAGAAAAAGTGACTATGGCATTGTAAATCACGAAGATAATTGAAATGTCCCATTCAATGGCCATATAAAATAAATACAATATGATTGCATAAAGAAATATTATGCAGTAAAACAAAATAAAAAAAAATAAAAAGCTGGTTCAAACAATCTAATATTTTCATACTTGGCAGAACATGCTATGCAAAACGTTAAAGGTTAAAGTTTATAAATTTGCATTGTAATAATATTGTTGTTATGCAATGAACTGTAATAATAAAATTGAATTATAATTTGCTATTTGCAAATCCTCTTAAGTTCATTGAACTGAAACTAATCTATTTCTTTTCTCTTTCTCTCAGTTCTAAGACCATTGGACATGGGGAATTTAGCGGGAGCGGCACATAATTATGTACATTTTATAATATAATAATTATATAATTGAATATGCTGATCAGTGCTTCGTGCAGCTCTAATCAAACTACTGCCAACTGGTTTTGTGGCAGTTTCACTTTAGCAGCACTCTCTATAGCCACAATTAGGAACTTCTTCCATTCCGACCCGAAAAAGTGGGTGTTCTAGCGAACTGCTGGTTACGAGCGGAGTGCTGCATTTACTTGTTTATACATCACCCTCACTACTAGCAAAATACGTAGGATACCAACCATGGAATTCACTAGCTGTTTTGCCACGTTATTCTACAATTAGTATTTTTTCTGGTTTTATTTTTCGGTTTGTGAATATTTGAGTTTCGAGGATGTCAAGCTTCAATTTATTGCAGGTATCGGCAATTGTCCCGACGGAACAGAATGCTGTTGACTGAGTGGTGGAACTAAACCTTGTTCCGACGGAAACACAGGGCCCTTTCTGTACGCGAGGCTCACTGCTCCAACTGCATATTATTCCTTTGGAATATTTTCATGCCAGAAAGCCAACCCGGAAAGTCATGGAGGGATACAGTTCATA